CCTAAGGTGTGGCAGACTCAGTGGGAGAAGCCGGAGAAGGGGGGGAAAGGCGCCTGGCCCTCGGGGCCGACCCGGTCCAAGCCGAAGGGTGGCCGGACCACTGGGCTTTCAAGAATCCCAAAGGGGTGGCGTACTGCAGAGATCATCTCCTCCACGGCAAGTGCTCGGGATCGTGCGGCCGTTCCCACAACTGCCCGGTCAGGAAGGATGGGTGGGTGTGTGATGCCCCCCCATCGAAGCATTCGCCACACCCTCACCTTCCCAAGTGACAGGAGGCCACCCAGGGTGCCATAGGTGCCGTGGCTTCCCAGTCTCAGTTGGGATCACAGGCCACCAGTGCGAGAGTGCACACAGAGGGGGAGAGCCAGCCCCACCAGAGCCACAGCGGAAGGCAGACAGAGCGGGGGAGGCCAGGACGGCCTCAGATGGGGGGGGACTTCTCCAGGGTGCCACCGGCCCCGGAAGCCCCTCCACCGAAGAAGAGGAGCGGTCCCAGCCAGGGCACTCCAGAAGGGCGGAAGCATCCCTTTCCCCCGCACCGGAAGACCCCCCAGAGAGACCCAGAGGTGAGGATCCGCCCAGCAAGGGGCGCTCCAAGGGCGGGAAGAACCGCCAGGGCAAGCATCAAGCCCGGGGACAGATGACGGGGGGATGACGCCGAGGCCAGTGCCGGGATCTTCAAAGCCGTCCCTCATCCTGCTGTACGCTGGGAAGGATGATGCGGGGGCCCTGGATGCCTACCTCCATGCCTACAACCCGGCCTTCTCGGAGTACATTTGGGCGGTGGATATCAGGAGAAAGGGTGGAGACCTGGGCCAGGACATGCTGGGCGAGGATCGACGATGTGCTCCATGGCCATGGCGGGCAAGGTCGCATTGGTGGGAGGTGGCCCCAACTGCAGGACGTGGAGCATCCTCAGGTGGTTCCCCAAACCGGGTGGCCCGCCGCCGGTGAGGGGCAGAGCAGAGCAGACCTGGTGGGGCTTAGAGGACTTGGAGCCCCGGGTTATGGAGGACACGGACAATGACAGCGTGCTCATGCTCCGTCAGATGTACCTGACCTCGCTGGCCTACAAGGGGCTAGGACAGCTGACGGTCCCGCAGGTTGGCTCCTCTTTCCTGGAGCACCCGATGGACCCGATGGAGTGCAGCAAGAGCCCGAGCGCAGCGAGGTGCTCATCCATCTGGGTCACGCGGGCCTACGTTCAATGGGCAAGTGCACTCCACCACTCCCTCATCAAGTTCGATGAGTGCCGCCTGGGCCAGGTGGTTGTGAAGTCCACGGCATTGTCAACGGACCTTCCTCTCCACCAGTGGCATGACCTGCGTTGCAACCACGGGTCTCACCCCAGGGGAGAAAAGCTCAACTCCAGTGACCTCAGCCGGTACCCGGAGCAGATGATGCAGGGTCTAGCAGCGGCCATCCTTTGCCGAGCGGGACCCGTCCTGGAGGCGCTGAGGCCGGGGGGCATGGCGCCCCAGGCTAACCCAACGACCCCCCCGAGGCGTCCAAGGGAACCTTCTCCCAGCACGCCGGGGGACAACAAGCGCCAGTCCCGGAGGCTGAAGGCGGGCCAACAAGCGTTGGCAGGTCTGACCCCGGGCTCACTTCCGGTCTCGGCCTCGGACACTCCAGAGGCTGGGACATCGACACAGAGGACTGGCGAGGTGGAGGAACTTGGGGGGGGAACTCTTCCCCTGGACCCATGGGCACACCAGGGCATGGAGATTTCGGATCGGCCTACCATCCTGCCGATCACTCACGACCCCAATATCTCCGACAAGGTCATGTACCTCCACATGCCTTTCAAGCAGCGTCCCTTAAGAGACGGTGGAGGAAAGCCCTCATTGGGACGGTTGGCCCCGTGGGCCCGACCGCTGTCCAAAGCAGCAGCGCTGGGGGCCAAGATCTGTGTCCTCACTTCGCCGTGGGGGGACAAGCTCCAGGAGTCGCTCTCGTTGGGGGAGGGGTCACATCCCTTCCCGGAGGACCTGCTGCTGGCGCCGGGGGCAGGCCGACCAGCGGACAGCCAACCCTTCTTCCTGGACATTTTGCACAGCGTGGCTCTGAACATTCAGGACCCCGACCACCAGTTTCCCCGGGACCTGGAACAAGCCACTCAAGAAGGAGCTGAAAGGGGAGGAACCGGAGTTCCAGGAACTCCCCCACCCAACGGGCAGGGGTAACTACCCCTCGCTTCAGCGAGCTCATCCGGGGCACATTTCTGGAGGAGGTCCCCATGGGCATGGTGGAGGGCCCCTTCAGTAAGGAGGCGGCAGCATCGCGATGTGGCTGCGACAGCGAGGACCTTTGTCCCGGCCCCCTGGCGGGAATCGACGAGGGGGACAAGATCCGCACGATCTACGATGGCTCGGTGGGAGGGGCCAATGACACCATCAGAAACCAGACGGTGGAGAGGACGACGGCTCCGACGGTGTTGGATGGGGGTCCAAGCTCTCCATTGGCTACATGCGGCAGCCGAGGAGGGACCCCCCTCTCAGGGTGCCTCTGGCCCCGAGGGGGGGATCGTCAAACCTCCACCTGGGGGCTGGCTCTGGCCGGAGCCGGGCACCAGGTGGGTGCTGCTCAAGGCGGACGTCACCAAGGCCCACCGGAGAGTGAAGGTCCTCAGGAAGGACTGGCGGTTCCAGGTGGCCTCACTGGGAGAAGAATGGTGGGTGAACAAGGTAGGCACATATGGCATGGCCAGTGCCCAATCCTACTGGGGACGCCTGGCAGCCCTTCTGCTCAGGGTCCTCTACGCGCTTTTCCCTCAAGTGGATTGGAACTTCGTCTTCGTCGACGACTTCCTGTAACTGCTTCGAAGCGAGGGGGCAGTGAACTTGGCGGTGGCGCTGCTGGCCACACTCCTGGCATTGGGCACCCCACTTAGCTGGAAGAAGACGCACTTGGCGGAGGTTAACACGTGGCTGGGCTTCGTGGTCCACCCGAACATCCCGCAGGTTCTCATGGCGGCCAACAAACACATCCTGGTTATGGAAGTTTTACAGATCATGGTGGAAGGGCAGGCGATGCACTTGAAGGACATCGAGAAGGCCCTGGGCCGCATCCAATGGGCAACGGCCGCATGTCCGCTGGCAAAATCGATGCTCCAGCCACTTTGGGCATGGAAGATGGCCACCACCACGGTGGGGAAACCCCCTAAGGTGGTCAGGATGCTGGCGTTCATGCTGCGGTTCCTCTTCAACACGCCTTTCGTCCAGTACTCCCCCTACTTGCCGAAGTCCTCCTGGTGGGGTTGCAGCGACGCTAGCGCCTCGGACGACGGACTGGCATTTGTGGGAGGTTGGTGCTCCAACACGGTGGAACCGGACAAGAAGGAGGTGTACTGGTTCCATGAGCAGATCCATGTGGAGGAGTACCCTTGGGCTTTCAAGAATGGGGATCCAAAGCGGAGGATTGCAGCTCTGGAGATGCTGGGCACGCTCTTCCTCTGTAACATGATCCTCACGCACCAAGGCCCTCTGTCCTCCCGGGTCCGACTCCCGGTGGGCAGTGACAATCAGGGCAACGTCATGGCGATGCTCAGGCCCTACACGGCGGCGATCCTGATGGAGCTGGTCTTCCTGCTCCACACCCATGGCTGCTCGCTGGCGGCCAACCATGTGCCCCGTGAATTCAATCAATGGGCTGATGAGCTGACGCACCCGGATTTCTCTGGGTTCGACCCTTTGCAAAGGGTCCCCAAGCAGGAACTCTGTGAGGAGTTGTTTTTCTCCCGCGTCTCCTGAATGGAGATGCATTGATCTCAGCGTGGGCCCACCCATGCTCCCGTGACCGGAGCCGGTGGGTGACTCACTTCCCCTGGTGGCAGACCCCCCTGTGGCCTGGGTGCCACGGGCCCCGGCTCAGGGGCGGGCGCTATCAGTCTGCACACCCGTTCTTCAGTTTTTGAGAATTGTGAGTTGGGTGGCCCATGGGGCCCACCCAGCGTTGGTCATCTGACAGGGGAAGATGAGTCCCTGGCACCAACACACTGCTCGGATGAAAGAGTTATCGCGTGCTCGTGTGTGGTGCCGTTTGGTTAGCTTGCATACACTTCATAGTTGCTGGCTGTACCAAATATATTCGTGCCCCGATTTATGGAACATCCTCCCTCTGACTGGAACAGCAAACCTACCCGGAAGACGCTGCCTGTGAGGCGAAGCGAAGGGCCAAGGCCCATGCGCAGGTGGGCCTTTTGCTGGCACAGCCTGGGAGCCCATCAGGGTCTGGAGCAGGATGTGGTATTGTGTGGGAACAAGCCTGGGACCCCTGCAGACGTGTGGTTTTTAGTTTGTTTTTGATTGCCAGTTTGAGAGTGCTTGCTGATTTAAGTGCGACCAAACTTGTTTTGATGAAGGTCGAATTTGATCTTCCGAAGATTCCAGTGCATGTATCGTCAGCATGCTGGCTGCTGTGTGGTTGGCAAGGGCAACGGACTCCGAGGTGGGAACGTGGCCAGGATGCCAGGGCCTTGGTGCTTGCTGGGGGCGCTGGATTTGTGTTGGCCGATGGGTCCCGGGATGTCCTGGGCCTCTTTGAAGGCACGGCATCGGACTCTGACGCAGGCCCCATGGATTGGATCCTTGCCGCAAATGTCCTGTGACCAGCTCAAAGGCTCAAAGGAAGCGCGTAAGCTTGTGCTGCGACCAGTCTGGCAAAAGCAAGACTGGGTAGTGGACGGGGCTGCCAGTGGCAAAGGCAACTGTGTATCGCTTGAAAAGCTGATGAGACTAGGCTGCCTGACGATGTGGCGAGTCCCAGGTTTCTCAAGCCACTTCTACAGTATTCCTTGAATCACCTATATCCTAGACTCAAAACCGAGTTCACTTGGCATCATTCGGAAGTTCATGTTGCTTTCTCTAGGCACGATGTTGGACTCAGAATCCGGCAAGCAGGGCATAAAGCAAGGACGCACAAGAGATATACACAGCAGTTCCTTGCATACCCTGACGAAGGCTTCAGGGCTTGGTGCAATCAATGCACCCAATCCGCTCATGTCTTCGAACGGCAACAGCGATAATCATGGCCAGCTGGACGCATTGAAGGACGCAGTTTCGTCAGAAACCTCAAAGTGGACAGTTCATCGGTTCGTTGATGCATTGCCTGACGGATTAGGATTTTACCTCACAGTTTTGAAACCATGAGGCGTGCTAAGTCTTGACCCACCTGCCATGCTGATTGGCAGTCGTGCAGTTCCCTAGACTTGAAGTATTCGTAACGGCCAGGACACAGAAAGGGCCGCTGTGGCATCCCTGGCCGCCCGCCTGGAAGGGCACAGCTGCCCGGGCCTCTACGACGATCCTCTGGCGCTGGTAAGGTACCTGCGGGCCAGGCGCTGATGGTCTCCCGGAGTGGTGGGAGCGGGGCTCTGTTTGGAATCAGCGAGGTATGGCCCCCCCCCCCCCTTATCGGGCCAGGTGTGGAGGCTAGAACTTGCCAGGTTGGACCACCCTGGCAGACCAATCAATATGTGGAAATCCACGTTTCCTTCTGGCGCAGGATATCGTCGGCCCGAAATGGCCCGAACTTTCGGTTTTAATTCACGTCTTAAGGCGGACAAGTAAGGGAGTTTTCTTCGTGGAACAGCTAGCTGATGATGGCAAGCAACTTGCCTGGTCTCGTGGTTGTGTTGATGTGCATCTTGAGGGATTTTGGAACAGGCGGTATGTGTGCCAAGACTACGGGCACGTGCGAAGTAGCATTGCAAAGAGAAGCGGATTGTTTTCACGGCTGCTGCTCCAATCTTGGGTTTTGGAGTTGGACGTGTGCTTCCCTTAGGTGTCTGCGTAAATGAACCGTTTTCGGGTGCTACATTCCCAGAAGGCCCAAAGGATGGGAAATTTGCATCTGTTCAAAGACCCTCAATTTGGCACTGGTGCGCCTTGGCCATCAGCCCCTGTGGCCAGGAATTGGAACGTGGAGCTCGCTGAAGCTCTCATCCAGAGAACTGGTGAGTGGCGGAAGGCAGCTTTCAGAGATTCGGGCAATGACCGGGAATGGGAAACAACCTGCGACGACGTCTGCCGACTATGACTAGTTTTTGGATGCCAAGTTATGCAGCAAGTGGACGAAACGGAAGTGATATCATAGCTTTTGACAAGTTTTTTCACTGCGCTGATTGCATCATCTCTGCGCAATTGGCCTGAATTGTTGAGAGCTCAATCCGGCGTGGGTACAGGACTTTGGCTTTGCCGACGTCTTCAAGCCCATCACAGAGGAACTGGAGAGGGAGTGTCGCCTCGCAAACATTTACGTGCCGCGGCTATTGAATATATTAAATAGAACTTCACTTGTTGCAGAGGAGGAACTGCCATGGGTATGGGGGGCTGGCAATTGTGCGATAGGTTTTTGGAGGTGCCACGCTTGGTTTCAGTGGACTCCGTGGACTGTTGTTTGGAGATTGGGTGTCGGTGACTGGTCCACTCATGGTAGGTCTTGCACCTTGCCCCCGCAGCATGGCAATGTGCATCACCGGGTAAGTTTCGTAGCCTGAGGTCAGGGGCTACGACAAGAAGGGCAGGCCAGCGTTGTACTTCAAGCCTGGAGGACAAGGATTCAACGCAGAGCACGCTGGCGTGAAGTACCTGGTCTACTGTGTCGAACGCGTGACCTGGCATTGTTGAACTGTGGTGTCACTGGCACACGGTCTGCTAAAGACAGCCTAACAGCAATCGGTCTTCAACCACATGGGCCGAAGAGGCTACTTTGCTCGTTTGTCTATCATTTTCAGGCTCATGGTGCAGCATCGGCATACAGAAGTGATCCACTTTGAGGTGTTTGCAAAGAGTCCGAGCTTCAAAGGTCCCTGTGACGCAATGTCTGTGGCGTTTCACCCGAGGCGATCGCTTGCCTGGAGAAACAGGCCAAGCTGGGCCACCTGGTTTTGCATCCTGAGGACGCCGTGGGCAGGGACATTTGACCACAGACAAGCTCAGCTTCCCAAACTGCATTGACGATAAATGGTCCTTTGATCCCAGGTGGTTCATTGGCAGTCATGGCAATGCAAATCGTAAACAAAGTCGTTGGCTGCCTTCAACGTACATGCAGGTTACCCGTTTACATCACTACAGAAGGAGAGACCCCACTTTGAAGCACGAGTCCTCCGCTCCTTTGGCCTGCTTTCGCACCTGCACTCAGATCCATCGAGGCGGAATCTGATTGTGTCAGGCTTTGCTTTTGGTTTTGTCCATTCTGGATTCCGGAGGACCCGGTGGCACGGAAGTTCGTGCTGCTGGTGGACTTTCAAGGGGTGAGCACGGGCAGCCTCTTGCCGCTCACTATTGCCCGGGACTTGCTGCAGGTCATGCAGGCGACTCGCGCAGTGGGCTGCCGATTGACGGTTGGCGGGTTCTTGATGTTACTCCCATGCAGATTTAATGTGGACACATATTTGGAAACCCAAAGAAGCGTCCCAGAAGGAGATTCCTCTCACTCACAATGATGGTGTTTCTGTTTTCATGTCAATCTGCGGCAGGGCTGCGCAGTATTCATGAATCCCTAGTTGGGTGTGTGTTCCATTTGCGGGTGATTCTTCACTTTTCTGGGGACGCCCACTTCCTAATCTGACGTTTTTTTCCCATCATTGTGGTTCAATCCAGAGTCAGCATTGTCTAAGCTGCAAGCCATCCGCCCAAGCGGCAGCTCGGCAGGTGGTTTGCTTGGATTCATTTCCACGTCAATGTTGGCAGCCCACTGGGCAAGCAATGGACTTCACTTGGTGGTGCTGGGCATGTCGTGCCTTCTTCTTCGCCTTTGTTTGACAGATTTCAATCCCGGCTGGCCCCATGCACGTCTATTTCCGTGCCGTTCCAGAATCAGAGTCAGTGGGCAAGCCACACCGTGGCGAGCTAGAAAGCCCCTAGTACTGCAAAGCCCACACAACAGATACGATACTAATCCGGACGCCCGCGCACACGCACATATATACAAGCTCACCCGTGAAGGTTCTTTGCCTGGGTGTTCCCTTATGTTCAGTTGGTGAATTGTTGCCAGTCCAGACGTATAGAGGAAGCATCCGCACTTGTTCTTCGCAGCTTTTGCGTCAGGATCATTACCCAGAGCGTCTGGGCGTTGCCATTTTCGTGAACACTCCCTGGCTGTTGCACGGCTTCTTCAACGCTGCCAGCAACTTCCTGGACCCTGCCCCCCGGGCCGAACATGATGCCAAGATGTGATGCGAAGATGCCATTGAACCACTGCAGGGCTGTCGTTTCTATGCTGCTACCTTCGTGGAGGTTTCTTGGGCGCATGCCGTATGGTCTGCTCCTAAAACAGTGGGTCAAAGGACCACCCTGAACCAGGCTGCGAATGTTGACCCTGGATTAATCAACCTAGCGGATTCATACGGGGGTGTAGAAGATGCAACCATGGCAACCATGACGCATGTATGGCTGGGTCACAGGTTCTTGCCGGCAACTGACGGTCATGGGTGCAGGCAAAAGGTGGATGGCACAATTCCCTTCACAAGCCACATAATATGGGGAATTGTGCCACCCAACGGTAATCATATCCATGCTGAGGCAGGGGGGCCAAGGATAGTTGAACAAGCACGCAGCTTTTTCAGCTTGTTCACCTAGGTGACGGTGGCCAAGTTCACTTTTGTGTCTGCGACCGGTGAGGACCAGCGGCCGAAAGCCAAATGAGGCTTAGTTGATCTTGCAACCAAAGAGGTATGTCCCCAGACTTGGGGCCGCGTCGAAGTGGTTAGTTCGCTTTGGTGCGTCCAAACAGCGCATCCCGACAGCCCTGTTCAAATCGGCAGACCTGTGGCCCCCGCCAAACTCCTCAGAAGCTTTGCTGAGCCTTCTGATGCATTGATTTTATCAGAAGGCAAGTGTAATAAGTGTCCCCATCTTTTTTTGCGATGCCCGCGTTCTTGTTGTTTCCTGGCTGTGACGCCTTGCAGGATCCTGACAGACGCACAAAGAACCATTTTGCCGACCCTCGGCCAACCACGTGATAAACGCAAGCAAACACTCATTTGAACATGAAACTTGAACCTATCATTTTCCCTTGGGGTTGCTTTTTTTTGGGTCTGGATTTCTCAAGCTGTGCTGATACTTGTGAGATTTTCGGGTTCCCAAGTTGTCTGAACATGTCCGCTTGGTTTCCTTGCGTTTTCTTGACTCTTGCGTTTTCCTGGACTCTACTGAAATATCTTAGCTGGCTTCTACAAACGCGCTGGGCATGTCACTGCACCAGGTCCAGGCTAAACATGTGCTGAGCACATATTTAAGTCCAGATGCGACACAACAGGCTATTGGACATGTAGACAGACATTTGCTACATACATTCTACAGACCCTCGACACTTACAGCAGGCACATGCTACCTGCCATGACAGTGCTCATGCGAGAGTGCTAGACACATGCAGCGCCATGGAACATGACAAGCCAATGTGATACTGCGGCAAAAACATGTTTTTTACAGCTCAGGCAACATTTCCCCGGTAGTCTATGGCCAGCTTGACAGGGACACAACGTTTCCCACATTTGCCCACAGGCACAACGGAGCTCACAATTTGTCCCATGTCCTTTGCAGAAACGGCAACTTGTCGCCATGAATCATATGCACTATTGCAGTCGTGCGCACTGGCAAGTGAACAACCACGCGCCCACAGAGACGCAGACGCAGACGACAGCGCGCCATGCTGACAGCTCGCCGCTCTACCGGGAAACACAGGAGCTCTCCAGAGTCATGGCAGAACATTTTGAGCTCAGCGCTCTTGAGCCCTCTTTCGGTGGCAGCGCCTGGGTCGCAATTGAACTTCGGCGGGGTGTGTTGGTTAGGTGCGGGGCCATTTGGCGTGGCCCGGTTGTGGCCAATGTGTCACTGAATGCGGCCTTTTGGCTTTTCAAGGTTTATGTTTGTTTTGTGATGAAGAGTCGCCTCACGAAATGATAGCGTGGACACTCAACGAAGCTTCTGAACCTTTGAGCCTTGTCGAGCCTTGAATTCCAGATATGTCGTCGGTGTCTTTCCTTTGAGGTGATGACGAACCCTTCTGCTCCCACGTCTTTTTGAACACGCCTGCCGGACAGACAGTTTTCGGTCCGCGGCTCAGCACCTCGGGACTCGATGCGATGTGCCCTCTTGGCGTCGCCCTCCGAGGCCTGGAGTTTTCGGAGCAACTTCAGCTTTGTCCAGAACATGAGTGCGGTGGGGCAGAGTACGTGGACTTCTTGCACGTGTACCGCCATTGGACGCTCGGCCTGAAGAAAATGAGCCATACAGAATGGGGACTTCCTGCGCGCCCTGAGGCGGGTGCTGAAACTGGCCCCGTCCCAGCGACGGGCCCTTCGGCAGCTGGTGAAGGAGTTGGGGCAAGAGCTGCCACAGGCGAGACGGGGAGACGCGGCTTCGCCTTTTCGGCCAACAAGGCAAGCCGACAAGGAAAAGGCAAGACTCCAAAAGTGTGAGTAGCCTATTTGAAGCAAGGGAATGCCCAACAGAGAATGCGTGACCCGTGCTTTGGGCAGGAAGCCCACGCGCTCAGGGGCTGGCTGTTGTCCTTTTCTCCTTGGCTTAAAGGGAAACCGAAGCAGAAGCAATCATTCCCCCCCCCCCTTCGAGTTTTGAGACAAACCTAAAAAATTTGAGTTCCTTTTCTTGCTTTCAGTTGAAAGCCGTCCAAAAAGGAACCCTGTTCTTTTTGGAAATGCACAAATGGAGGTGCCCATTCCTTGGGGTGGTAGGAAGACAAAGACTTCTTCATCGATGCCTCCACTTTGCTGCGCTACCTTCGGGCGCAGAGCTGGGACGTGGCCAAGGCCTTGACCTTCCATTGATACCTTTGCTTGTGCTTGCTTTTTGTCCTGCTCGATCATGCCATGCTTCTCCAGTTTCCCGATTTCTGCCTGGGCAATGAACAAGTGCACATTACGTTTCTTCGAACAAGCGCGTTGTGTTCGAACAGGTCACATCGGAACCCCGCAGGGCTTATGTCTCGAAACTGGCTCGAAGTCCACACGACAGCACGTGCCACAAAATGAGATACGAACTCCAAACACCAGCCAAGTGACAGAGGAAGACATTTCAGGCATGGAAGCTGCAGGAGAGTCACGTGTAAATATTGAAAAACCTGGGATGTGATCAGGTTTACGGGAGAGGAGGCTGGCTATGAAGTTTATTGAAACACCAACCCCAAAATTTGTTGGTGGACATAAATTCCCGTGAAAGTGTATGAAAGTGATGTCCACCAAAGGGTCCTTGAATTGAACCTGACACACATTCCTCAGATTTGTGTAGCAATTTATTGGTTGGATTTGGCAATTGCATAGATGCGACAGACCTTCTGTGCCCCAACCGGGTACGTGCCATACAACTGTGCCAGTGACATCCTTGGAGCTTTCCCCCTGTCTTTAGTGCGGTCACCGATGTTTTGCGCGGGTTGTTTTGTGCTCAGAGCCTAGGATCAACCCGAGCCACCGAGCAGAGATTTGGAGGGTCCTTTCTGGACCATGGGTGATCCACAGTCTTGCTTAGCTCAATTCAGCGCAGGCAGCAGCTGCCGTGCACGCTACGGCCCGCTGGCGGAAGGACCCTGCCACGGTTGCCAGGTGGCAAGTCAGTTGTTGGTCATTTAGCCTGCTTGTGTGGCTTTTTGTGTTGGTTCGTTTGCTTGCTTGCTTGCTTGCTTGCTTGCTTGCTTGCTTGCTTGCTTGCTTGCTTGCTTGCGTGTTTGTTTGTTTGTTTAAATCGTTCATTCGGTTGTGTGTTTGCTGGCTTGCTTGCTTGCTTGTGCTTGCTTGTGCTTGCGTGTGCTTGCTTGTGCTTGCTTGTGCTTGCTTGTGCTTGCTTGTGCTTGCTTGTGCTTGCTTGTACTTGCTCGTGCTTGATTGTGCTTGCTTGTGCTTGCTCGTGCTTGCTTGTGCTTGCTTGTGCTTGCTTGTGCTTGCTTGCTTGCTTGCTTTGCTTGACAGCCTGTTGATGATTTGTTGGCGTGTCACGGCAACGTGGACACGGTTTTAGAAGAGCACAGAAGCTGGGAGCCCCGCCTCAAACACGGTTAAAATCCCAAATGCTTGCGCAGATTCGCACCCAAATTGGTCGGCGACTTTTTGGAAAGGGCCGAACAGGAGCACGTCAGCGAGCCGCAGGGCAAATGGCAGGCGGCACTGGTGCAGCAATGCGCTTTGGGCCGGCTCTACTTGCGAGGCCAGGGAAAGCACCACAAAGCGCTTGGCGGGCGTCTTTTGACGTGGGGGACCCCTCTACAAATGTAGTGTTTTCCCGCGTTCCTTCCTTTTTTTTTTTTTCTCGGGGGGTTCCGTGTTCCATGCAAACACCTTTCAAAGGTTCTTGGTTCTTCCACTGTAGGAAACGCGAGTGTCAGCAACGCCCAGTCTAATTGCGACCCAAGCAGAAGGCTATTCTCAGAATCAAAATGCCAAAAAACGGGACAATCGCGGGATGTGGGGCTCTTGCGCTGGTTTTACTTTGCCAGTATGGTGAGCCAGTGCATCAGTGCTGGCCCCTTGTGATTTTCCAGAGTGTTGCTACCAAACGCTCCCTTCTTCTGTTTCTTTAGTATCGAAACATCACATTTTGGGCAGTTTGTGTTGACACGGGACATCTACAAGAAACTCTGAAACGGTTCTTTGATTACATGTGTTATGTAAGGTGAGCACACCGCATGGCCTGAAAAAACCAAGTTTTTGGCAAGCAGCAATGATTTCCTTACAGGAAGACTCCTATGCAGGTTAGGTGCCGGGTCTACATGTGATGTGACCCGTCAACTCATTGTCTCCCATTTGCGCCCACCATATACAGCCACATGATGACAGGGACGGCAAATCTAAACCAAGATCAGCACGTGACACAAAGCACACTCTTGCAATTTTAATGTTAGCACTATTAAGCCGCGTTTGGCATTCATGCAGGCTCACGATGGTGCTTCCCTCAAGTTGCTCCAAGGCTGGGTTTGTACCAGTTCTGTGTGCCAGGTTTCGACAAGCAGGGCCGGCCCATTTTGTACGCCAAGTTTCACCATGAAGCAGCTCGGCATACTCAGCCTCTCTGTGTTTGGCGAGCTTCGTCTGGGCAGTGATTCAATTGTTTGTATGGTGCGCTCATCCGACTTGATGACTAAGGACGGTGGTGGCCATCAGGAGACACTAAACTATGAGACTTGGCAAATGGCACGGAGGTAGTACAGGGTTTTCCTGCACGCATGGTCATTCATAGCTGCCTCGGCCCGCAGCCTTTGCATAAGGTCATCTATGTGATGGAGCGCCTTCTTGCACTCCTGCGGAGACTTGAGGCTGGGATCGTTCCTGTCTACCGTACGCTGCTTGGTCATGTTTCGGTTGCTGAGCATTGCTAGAGCAAAGCAGGAAGCATTGCCCTGACAACAGGAAGCAACCCAGGGTGATTTTGTCGTTGTGAGTGCTGTTCACCCGTTCTTTGCCGTGCCCTGTTTTTTTTGTTTTTGTTTTTTTTTTTTTGCTTCAAGGCACGCAAGCAAGCGTTTTTGCAAGCAGGAGTGCTGGCTGTAACTCATCCTTTACAGATGCTCCAGTTTGCCAGTTTGTTTGCTGGTCGGGCCTGCAAAGTTGTTTTAACCGTGCTCACTGGAGTTGGGCATGCTTTTTTGACTACGAGTGTCAACTCTTTTTGGCGAGTTGAGCATGAGCATTTATTGCAGGTTGTGTGGCACAATAGAGGTGTTCAGTTTGAGAGGAGTTGGGGTGTGCTGCTATTGTGCCTTGTTCGGCGGATGCAAGTCAGTTGAGTTGGGGTTTCTAAGGCCTACAGGTGTAGGAATTACCAGCTACTGCTGGCAGGAGGACCAGGATGAGGCGCCGGACTGTGCCACCATGATAGTGGATTTGAGCAGTTGCCCGGCTTGATCATGCCTGTGCCTGTTGTTTGTTTGTTCGTTGCTGGCTTTACTCGCCAGGACCCTGAAACAAGATCCCACTTTGCACATTTTTTGGTTAGCTCACCCAAAGGTAGTAAACGGGGCTCCTTGCTTGGGGATTTCTGAGCTCTTGCCACCGATGTATCACGGCTTGACCGAATACTGACGACTCTCTCCTTGCTGGGGCGAACGTCAGCGTGAGCCGCAGAGAGGCTTGTATGCTAAAGCCTGTTTAGAATACGGGCAGACATAGACAGCAAGTGAGGGCCCAGGGGCATGTGTGTGCAGCGTGCTAATGTGCCAGACGGGGTTGGCCTGGAACTGAGGCTACGCATCTTCAAACAGGCCGGGGATGGGGGAAGGAGGGAATGTTACACGCAGGAGGCAGTGCAGATGAGCCTTGAGCAGCTGGCTCCCGAAGCAAGCAACTTACGAACGCCACTTTTGACTGATCGGTTTTTGCGCCGGCTGATGCCGTGGTTTTTGATATTGAATCAAGGCGGGAAGCTAACTGTGGATATGACAGGAACTCACCCATGAAGGATCTTGGGAATTCCGTGTTTCAAGTTTCGGATCGATTCTTGACCAGATTGACGCCAGGCCACAGCTGAAGACGCTATGGACCGCTACGAGGATCGTGAAGGAGCCAAGCTCTTGGCTGAAGGGCAATGTCATTTTCACCGGGCCAGGAATCCTTCGCTTTTGGGAGGGCTTGCGCACAGGCTTGCCTTAGCTCGAAAAAGTCAAATGGGCACAGCCCTTTGTACGTGCAACGGCCGTAGAAAGGAAATGCAATGAATTGAGACTATGGAGAGAAGGTTTTTTTGCAGCCCCTGAGCCCTGGCCGCCGATTGATGTCCTTATGCTGCGTTGGAGGCAGAAGCCCTTGACAAGCGTGGAAGAAGACATCCTGTACCCTTCTCTTCCCCATTGCAGAATGAAATGTGCCTCACCATGTTGACACCAACAAACTGAGGCTGACGTGCCCTGTGGTGTATTCTCTTTTGCTTCTTTTTTGCTTGCCTGCCCTGTCTGCCCTGTCTGCCCCCCTGCCCTGCCCTGCCCTGCCCTGCCTGCCTGCGTGCCTGCTTGCCTGCCTGCCTGCGTGCCTGCCTGCCTGCTTGCCTGCCTGCCTTCCTGCCTGCCTGCCTGCCTGCGTGTTTGTTCGTTTGTTTGCTTGCTTGCTTGTTTGTGTGTTTGCTTGATGTATTTACTTGCTGGCTGGCTGGCTGGCTTGCTTGCTTGGCAGGCTTGCTTGCTTTTGCTTGCTGGCTTGCTGGCTTGCTGGCTTGCTGGCTTGCTGGCTTGCTGGCTTGCTGGCTTGCTGGCTTGCTCCTGTTTGCAATTGTGTTTGCTTGTTTGTGCCTGCTTGCTTGTGCTTGCTTGCTTTTGTTTGCTTGCTTGCTTGCTTGCTTGCGCTTGCGCTTGCGCTTGCGCTTGCGCTTGCTTGCGCTTTGCGCTTGCTCGCTTGCTTGCTTGCTTGCTTGCTTGCTTGCTTGCTTGCTTGCTTGCTTGCTTGCTTGCTTGCTTGCTTGCTTGCTTGCTTGCTTGCTTGCTTGCTTGCTTTTGCTTGGTTTTGCTAGCATTTGCTTGGTTTTGCTTGTTTTTGCTTGCTTGCTTGCTTGCTTGCTTGCTTGCTTTTGCTTGGTTTTGCTAGCATTTGCTTGGTTTTGCTTGTTTTTGCTTGCTTCCGCTTGCTTCCGCTTGGTTTTGCTTGGTTTTGCTTGCTTTGACTTGCTTTTGCTTGCTTTTGCTTGCTTTTGCTTGCTTTTGTTTGCTTGCTTGCTTGCTTGTGCTTGCGCTTGTGCTTGCACTTGCGCTTGCGCTTGCGCTCGCTCGCTTGCTTGCTTTTGCTTGCTTTTGCTTGGTTTTGCTTGTTTTTGCTTGCTTGTGCTTGCTTGTGCTTGGTTTTGCTTGCTTTTGCTTGCTTTTGCTTGCTTGCTTGCTTGCTTGTGCCTGCTTGTGCCTGCTTGCGCTTGCTTTTGCTTGCTTGCGCTTGCTTGCGCTTCCTCGCGCTTGCTCGCGCTTTCTCGCTTTTGCTGGCTTTTGCTGGCTTTTGCTGGCTTTTGCTGGCTTTTGCTGGCTTTTGCTTGCTTGATACGGGGGCTGACAGATTGGCAGGAACACTATCCCGAGATATTTGGAGATGTCTACGTCTTCCAGCCTCCGGTGAGAATCAGTTTTTTATGGGACTGCCTGCCAAAGATCCGGTGCGGCTGCTTGCCGCAGCCCATGTACCAGCTGCTGGATCCACATGTGCGAGGCTGAGCAAGCTGCTTGCACATCGCTGCTCGGAACCTGTGTAGCTGCCTGAGGTTCGCGACAAAGTGACGGTGGTGACATCGCAAGCCCAATGGAAGACCATCCTGCAATCCAAGTTTGAACGCAGCAAGCTGCTAGGCAGTGATAGTCCTTGGTTCGGAGTAGAGTCCTTGCGCAAGCGAGCAGTTGGCAATGCCAAGGCTAGAGAGGAGCTTCGGTGGAGATTTGAAGCAGCAGTTCACCTCGAAAACCTTTCTCAACAAGAAGTCTGCCGGGCCCACAGCCTTGCTCGGTGCTGTTTGCAGCGTGAGCCTTCCGGCTCTGTTAAGCATTCGCGCATTACCTTTGGCGAAACACGCTGTCGATGACCATTGCCAGAAGCCCAGGTCAGAGGCAGCATTTACGGCACCTTGGGCTGAGCAGAAACACTGTCAAACACGCATTTCTTGTTTGGCTGCCCGTTGTGCTGCATCCACGCATGCCGCGTACCCACGAAAGCCCTGGGGCGCCCATGCGCCCACCCAATCGCGTGCAAGAAGAGCAGATGAGAATCTGAAGTTTTGGGTGCGGAAGCCTTGCCGTGTACGCAAGTCTCTGTGGGGACGGCGTGAGAAGGGACAGCGAATGGAAACCGCCAACTTTCTCGTATGCCTGATATGGTGTCGATTCCCGTCATTCAGCGACACCTCGTTGTTTGTCTCTCTCTCTTTTTTTTCTTCTCCGAAATGCTTTCTTGCACTCATGTTCATCCACCATGCTAGACCCTGAGTTTGAGGCGCATGCGGACCGTCCCTCGGCTCATGAGGCTGCGAGTTCGAGGAGCAGGCAGCCGCGCCAGAGGCGCAGCGTCAGCGGGTGAGCTTCAGATTCTCATCCAAGGAGGAGACGAGCGGGACGTGGGAAGGGAGGTTTCTTGGGGGAAGAACTTGCGTTTGCTTGGGTCATGGTAGCATTGAGTAGAGATAGGATCTTACATGGCTCCCACATTGTTGTCTTGACAGGTCGCTTGCTGAGGCCAACAGTTGGAGCAGGTTACTAATTGGCAGCGCGCAGCTAGGATCTGTTTTTCCACTTCGCTTCCAGCGATGGGTGGATGAGGTTCCCCTGCGTTCGGTAGAGCGGCAAGGTGCAAAGTAGCTTGATGGATGCAATTCAGGGGGTTGTAATTACTTGTTTGAAAATGTGTATTTGCTCCATGTTTGTGGGCAAGCATGAGGGCCCAGCATGAGTGGTCTAAACCCTTTCAGTGGCGTTGCAACTGGGGGAAGTCCCACAGCACATTCAGGCGGTGGTGCATGGCGTACCCCATGTGGCCTGACCTGCTTGACTTGCTTGTTTGTTTCGTTTGTTTTGTTTGTTTGTTTGCTTGTTTGCTTGTTGGTGTGTTGGTTTGTTTGCTTGCTTGCTTGCTTGCTTGCTTGCTTGCTTGCTTGTGTGCTTCTTTGTTTCTTTCTTTGTTTAATTGAGCCCTTCACTCCTACTGCACCTTGCCGACTCTGGGAGTCCCCTGAGCCATTCCAAGGTTAGCTTAGGACGTTGGAGCAAGCCACTGCCACGGGCATGGGACTGCTAGAGTGCCTTGCATGGTTGGGCCCTTGTGGTTCCTTTCTGAAACCATCCCAGGATGGGTCTCACCCATTTGACATGTATCCGGAAGCTGATGTCAGGAGATTCCAATCACGCCCATTGCCCGGTGCGAAAGTGCTGAAGAAGATGGTGGGTTCAGCATTGTGGACAACCTCACCTGGATATTCCGCTGAACTTTCTCGGCATTGCTCAAGCCATGGGTGCTGAGTTGTGAAAGGTCATTGTATTCAAAGAGCCTGCGCATGCACAAAGGACTCCAGACAGAGATCTCTTTCTTATCACGCTAGCTTGGCAACTCGTGCATTTGCACTTGGGGGCATGCCGACTTGATGAATTGTTTTCACACCACCTGTTTGGTGCGCTCAATTGGGCTTATTGCAAGGCCAAGCTGGAGCAGAGAGTAGCAAATGGAGCCAACTTGTTGGACGAAACGTGCGACAGTCTCTCTACGTCGATTGTAGGTTTTTAACCAAAAACGGAAGCACTGCCCAATGCCTGGCGGTGCCATCTTTTGCCGACCAGACGAGCGGCGTTCCCGTTGCCCATGTCATGTCAAATCGCATCTTGAGTGCCTTTCCAGTGAAGAATCGCGACTCGACCGCGGACAAGTGATCAGCCGAGATTGTGATTAGGGACCCTAGGCATGAACTGTCTCGCTGCGGAGCTTTGGTAACGGGAAGCTCCCAGCTCTACGGTCGAGCCTGCTCTTTTTGAGGCCGCGAAGTGGAGCACAGGCATCTTGCGCGGCAAAGGTCACAGTTTTGCTTAGCTGCCACAACCGTCCCATTCGCTATGGTTACTTGTGCCGGCCATCCTGGTGACCCTGCCTGCGCAGAGCTGGGCATATCTGTGGGCGGGGGAGAGGCTCGGCGCTTTCCCTGGCCGACTGATGCTGCCATTGCCAAAGAATCAAACATTTAACCTCGGAAAATTGAGCGCTGACTGCTCGATGGCTGTATTGTTTTCTGCGGTGGTCGTGGGGGTGGTGGTGGCCCGCTTGTTATTTTGGTGCTGATGGTGTTGGTGGTGCTGGTGGTGGTGGTGGTGGTGCACAAGATCATGGTCGCTCTCCAAGGTGTTGAAGCCTTGGATATCCTTGGCCCTTCCAAGCACCGGCCGTGCTCGTAAGGTTGGGCTGCTAAGTAGCTGCGTGTCGGCCTGGCACAAGCAGGCCGCCGTGCGGAGCCTCAAGGGGCTGAAATGGATTCGAACCCCAGGGCCCCAGGGTTGGATATCAGTCCCGTCCCCATGGCGCAGTATTCACTCTTTGCCATTCAAGGTACTTGTCGCAAGGCTGCGCTTTTGTTTGCTTTGTGTTTCGGGCTGCTTTCCATGGCGAATTCTTGGCATGTGGTCCTGGTAAGGCGGTAAGGCGTATTTGGGGATGGACAGCCATCCCGGGTCCTTTCGGGCCCCAGGCCATTCTCGACCTGAGGTGACCGGCAAGAAGAGGAGCAAAGAGCCCTGGGCCTCGGCTTTTTCTTACCGGGCTCAGGACTGGCTGGCTTAGATTCATATGACCCCCTGCCCCAAACCAGCTCACCCTTCAAGAAGGTCCATGCTTCCCTGACTTCCAGCTTGGAAAGTACACTCCGTTGGAAAAGGGCCCTGTGCACTTCCATGTTTGTTTGTGGGATGGTATGCCTCTCCGCAAATTTATATGAAAGCCAACACGGGCGTCCCCCAACAGACAGTTCCTCTCAGATGGCTTGTTCTCGGGTTCCTTCCGTGGTTCTGCAGGGAGTAGTTCATGCAGATGCCCCGGACTTGCCTCTGACTTGTCAGGCGCCGGCACCAAGCCGTGCAACTTGCGCTGGACAAGCCGGGTCCTCAGCGTTGCCTCGGGTGTTTGCCTCCGGTTTTTGTTTCAAGGGCCGTGAAGAAATCAAGCAAACGGTTCCGAGAAAAGGCATGGCAAATTTCAGGCAGGGTTGGACCCTAGATGATGCAAGTGAACAGTATCTACACTAGTTTAATCCACAAACAGGCCGCACTGCGAACCGTATGCAGCTGAACGTTCGAGCGCGGGCATGCCTAGCACCTGATGCCATGGTTGCCCGTGGCTTATGGGAGAGGAACTTCAATCAAATCCCTGGATGAAGGACTTTGCTGGCACAGTTCTGTGTCCCTTTCAACACTGCCCCAGAAGGATCCATATTCCTTGCCATATTCTCATGTAGCCTTTGTTGCTAAGATTCTTCTCAAGGAGACCAAGTTCTTTACTCCCTGGCTTTACCAATTTCCTGGCAACAACATCTTCCAGATCTCGTGCATAGGATCCCCTTTAAAGCCGGGAACTGTAAGACAGAGGATTTCCGCTCCATTTTTCCCAAGGGCACATGATGGGTATACACCGTTATATACCCCACTCCCCTCGGAGTGGACTTCCCTATTCTCCACGGCTGCTGGCCACGCATCTCAAGCCTTGGGCAGCGCAGGTGGCAACGAGGTGCCACCAAAGGGCTACTGCATAGCATTGTCCGCTCGCCTAGGCCTTGGCTTGGGCAGGGTGGGAGTGAAACCAGCCAGTCCTTGCAAGATTGCAGGTTCGGCCCCGATTTTGGGTCTGTTGCTTTCGCTTCCCTGCCACCCTCGCACATTTGCCGTGCCATGCATCCAAGCTTGCGAGGCCGTAAGTGCGTTTTTTTTTTTTTTTTTTTTTTTGTTGTTGTTGGCTTGACACACTGTATACGCAACGCTGCATGCTGCATGTGTCCACTGCAGAGTTCCATTTCGCTTCGTGACGGCAAGAAGGCAAGTGGGCCATTGACAAGATGCCTTAAATGGTGTGCTTTTGAGTCATGTTTCTTCCAAGACTTCCCAGAGCTCCAGCCATGTCTTCCAAAGGACATGCCTCTCGTTTGTCCGGTCGAAATTGGGTGCTGCTAAGGTGGCGCACACGGTACGTTGGCCGCAGACGGCAGGCGTTGGGATGGCGTGACAAAGTTTGGGGCCTGTCTCGCGAGGTCTGGGTCGAGCCGTGGCCAAGGGGAAGTTTTCTGAGCAGATCACCTGCACGGCTCAAGTTTTCTGAGCTTACGCTGCCTTGACTCCGCCCAAACTCTGAGCCTTTCCAAGCCAAATTCAAGCATATGCGATCCCTGTCTTTTGGGGAGGGCACTTTTTCGATTAGTCGCAAGAGCCCTACATGGTTTTGAGACAAAGCTTTTTTCTCTGCGGGGGGGTGCCTGGCAGCGGTCCGTTCAGCGCAAAAAATGTACCTTCAGAAGTCAAGGGGCACGCGAGGCGAGGCTGCTAAGCAGCTACCTTGTGCTGTGGGAAGAGAAGGCTGAGGCACTACGTTGGGTCAAATGGGTGGGTTGGCTTGTTGTGCAAGGCCGAAGGACGCCGGGCCTCTGTGGGGATGTGTCCCATGCAGCAGCTGAATAATTTTACTCGTCAACTGCTTGAACATTGTTTCCCTGAGCTGCGCGACTCATTTGCTAGCTGGCTAGTGGCTTGCAACCAAAGTACGGCTGCTTGCCTTTTCTTTCTGTAAAGGATTATACGTTCTTGGGCACAAGAAGCTGGAACAAGAGAACACGAACTTGAACTGCTGTCTCGAAAGCCGATGTATTTCTTTCGGAGTCATTCGAGACGTGTGTGACCACATGGTTCACACAGTTGTGAAACAGTTTACGGCATTTTACGGCGAGCAGCTACTTGTGAATCCCGGCACTAAGGTCAAGGCCAGCCTGTTGTCAAAAGATTGGCAGAGCTGAAGTCTTCTAGTTGAGCATCCTTGTCGTTTGCACAAGTTGATTCTTGGAGGTGCTAGCGCAGCACGACTGCCATTTGCGCATTTGAAGTGATTGTTTGAGCAGTACCTTTGGGCAAATGATGGAGGTCCCCAATCGAAATTCATTCCCAGCTCAGCAAGCCGCTCGTTTCCTCGCAGGTAGGCCTTCAACAAACGTGTCTTGCCGCGTGGAAGAAGCTGGCCGACGCAGCGGGGCCCAGTCCCACCATCGCCCTGCCTCCTGAGTGACATGTTTCCAGTTTTAGCAAAGCGAGCCGGCCTATCGAGTTTGGGTTCTTCAGTTTTGGCAGCCAGTTTCGGGTCCGTCTTTGAATTCTAGGATGAGCCGTAGGCGGAAGATTCATCATGCAAGTAGCAAGCTTGCGGGGCAAGTCAATTCACTCAGAGGTACCGTGTGAATTTCACAGGGTCACTATTCACAATATGGAGAAGAGACTTTGCCAAAAACCAAGTTGATGGTATGTTCGTGGGTTGCCATAGGCGGGACCCGCATGCCGCGTGCACTTTGCAATGTGTGCTCCCGGAATGCGCCTTGCTAATTTTGTGGAGGAAACCAGAGAGAGAACTGCTCCAGCAGAGGGCCAACATTGGGCACAGTGGGTTTCGTCCTGTGCTTGCCACCTATGGCACGGCTCATAGGCTGTTCAATTTTCCGGGTTTCCCAGTTTGGGCACCCAGTTTGAATAACATTTTTACCAATGCTTATCCCAAGATTTTGGTGGGCAAATGAGGGCCGACGGCATCTTTCGGCAATGGGATTGTCCTTCCCTTCCCGAAGCCGCCGGCCATGTGCTTGCCCGAGGCGAGCGCCCGTTCGAAGTCCAAGAAGTCGTTGCCCTAGGGACCGAAGGGCAAGCGAGAGCACCAGTTGGAACAGGAGCAGCCAACAAGACAGAGGCGTTGTTGCTATTCCCTTTGAATATTGCCCCAGTCATCGGAAATCTACAACATTTATCGACGTGCCAGGGCTGATGCTGGCATGACCACCTTGGAATCATGTGAAGCTGCACGAACGCAAAGCATGCACAAGCCACAGCCCATATACCATACTTGGTGTGATGATGGCTTGGCATGGCAGCCTGGAGCTGACTTGACTGCAAGTAGTACAGTGCGGTTTTCTACAAAAGGTGACCCCAAAAGCTAGTTGGTTGTCTGCGGGTTTGTCATGTTGGAACCCGTTAGATGGTTGGTTCTCCGTTGAGTTCCCCGGAGAGACTGAAGCCACAGGCGCGGCCAGGAGGCGGTGAAGCTGGCGCTGGAGAAGCCCGGGGACCCACGGGCCCGTTTCCGGATAGGCAGGTTTTCGCTTGGGTCATTTAGGAAGGGACTGGGCGCAGTGAAGCTGTGCTCAAGAGCTCCTCTCCCACGGCCAAGGCAGAGGTTCCAATCCGGAGACTGCCCCTTGGTCCCTTG